ATTCTGCGGCGTTTGGCTAAGCGAAAAAAGAGGAAGAGCAAATCTCACAGTGTTTGTGAAAGCAGATTGACTTTTGATGATTTAAAAAATGCAGTGATCGTTTTTTTCTAATTAGGACGACAGTTAGTAGGCTCTGCAAATGCTTCATGCTTTCAAATGCAACCCTACGAAAAGATTTGTGAGTCAAAGAACGCGTCAGATTCGAAATAGCAGGCAGATTTGATGCATTGCTTTTGATAGGGGTTTTGCAATATTTTTATTCTTCTTCGTTCAAAATCAAAAGCACCGGAAGCAGGTTTCAGCCATGGTCGGCTAACATGTGCACCATATCGCGTTTCATCAATAAGAGCCTTGCGGTGATATTCAGATTGAATTTATAATAGTGTGCACTGTACTTACGGATCGTTATCAGCTAGTTTCAAACGAAGGCGGCTGCCCCCGAAAGCGAGCTATGCGCAAGCGTACGAGCTAAATGTGATGCTCAAACTCCCTTCACACCCGCTTCGCAAAGCGATCACCATCGTCAGGGCACTTTAGAGCACTGCTTTATCGGACTAAATGAGCGAAATTACAACATTATGGAGACGGCTGAGTAGTAAATTCGCCTTGGTTTCTCGGGTGTAAGTGAGAGAGGACTTGAAGGTTTTCTACAACCGAGATGCGCATGGTCTGATCCATTCTCCTTGGTTTCCCCCACCCAATCAATAGCGGTAAATTATGAATAGCTGTGTCTAATTACTAAAGTGCAGTGATAGTAGAACGGAATATCAAGATTTGTAGTCCTAGTGAAAGTATAAAATGTTTCTGCTGCATGGTAATTCAACCTTCTGATCGTTCCATTTTCCATCATACCCATTTTCAATATATTATTTCGTACCTCATTTTCTTTGTGTTTACCGTATACGCTCCTTGACGACATCGCGATTATGACGGCACACGTAATTATATGTATTTAGCGTTTTGTAATTACTAAAAATTGTAGAAAATGTTACAGAAGAATCAACAAACCAAGAAAAATTCCAATCAAAAAGCAACAGCGTTTTTTAATCCATACTCTAAGTTTGAGCTTAAACTCATACCTTACCAAGCATTGAAGGTGGGTTAAAGAGAATGGTACCAATAAAACGAAAACGACACCCTCTTAAAGGCAGTTCCGGGCAAAAACTCGATTTCAGAAAATCCACTTACCGGGGGTTGTCCGCAGTGCTGAGTCCGAAAATCCACATTAGAAGGCGCAAAAACGGCGAAAACATGCGTTTTCCAAAGCTTTACAATTTAAAATTCGACGGTTTCCTCTAAGGCTGAAACGCAGAGTTACTGCGGAACCCTACGATTTTGACTGTGGCAGCATGCATACTTTATCGCATAGCAGAAATTTAAACATCGGAGGACCCCACCCCAAAGCGTAAGTTTTCCCACTTTCCGGTCGTTCTTCTTGCTTTGAGTCGATCTTATAGCCTCATACTTGCGCGATGCTGTGTCTGCCACTTTCGCATGGCACTGAAATCTCAAAACCCCCACCTTGCCCGGACACTGCCATTAAGCGGAAATACTCTCAGATTTCTGAGTTCTTTTTATTTTGGCGGCGAAATATGGCCTTCAAGTGAAGGTACCTTGAATCTTGAGACACAGATTCTTTTTATATAAGGACCTATGGAGAAATCAGCTGTTTTTTGGAGCCAACGTTGGTGGCAAAACGAATTCCCCAGCGGGGAATCGAATCCGGGTCTGGTAGCTGGGAGTCGCGCCCGTTAGCCTACTAGGCCTTGTAGACCACATTGTAGCCTTGTGTTTATCGGGCGAATTGCCTTTTTTTAACAAAATCAAAGAGGGAAGTGACGTCTGGGGGGGGGGGGGATGCGGTAGTCAGGCTCCCCCACGATTGTGCAGAAAATGGGGTTCTGATTTCCATTCTTTTTATATAATAGGATCAGTGGAGAAAAGCTATGACCATTAGGTGTGAGAGTGTATTGAGTCACAAAATCCTCAGATATGTAGCACTTTTTCAACGACGAAAACTAATAAATTCCTTCTCGATGTGTTGATTAAAATTCTGCTAGAAAGGTATGGTGCGCATCTAAAATGGTAAAAGTACGGCTGCATTTGGAAGTACACCTAGATCAAAACTTGACGACAACGTGCATTTTTAGTTGTCTGCCTTGTGGGACAAAGCCCATCAAAAACTTGAAAATTGGCTAAGGCGTAGATCCTCATCTACAGCATAACTACAGCAATTTTAAGAAACAGGCAAAAAACGCGGAAGTGAGGTCTAAACTCAGATCTTGGGGAAACTTCTGAAATGAATGTATGCCAAAACTGTATCATCTTAACTAACTTGGAGCAATGACCCACCATGTGGATCACATTGTCCCACGTACCAGTCATTGCATGACCCAACATATGGGTCACGTTGTCGTCAGTGTGCTAACAATAATTGCCGCTGGCATTTGAGAAAGATGTCACGCTCAGTGGAGCTCATACTCGTGCAAACCCTTCACCTCGCACTTCTTCTCTAAACTCGCCTACACAGTGAATGACTGCAGTGCTTCCCCCTCTTGTAATGCATCATTCCCGTAGCTTCCCCTTCCTAGCTTTTCCTAGCTAATGTTGTGTGTTCCAACATAAATTTTTATATAACGTTAGCGGCCTTTTCCATGAAAGCATTTGAGGCGACTAATTCATCGAAGTATGGTTGTTTTTGAAATCATAAACAACTTCCTCTTTTGTTTTCCGTGTTGTATATTGCTTGGTCCTGCTCAAACTTATTGCAGCGTTTTCATCCGGTTTCTGAAAGTTTCTTTTGTTTTGCCATTCTTTTCGCATGATTCTCTCTTCTCTGATATTCTATAAATAACCTTCATTTTTTATGGGGACAAATATTCAAACAACCTTCACTTTTAAAACCCTTTCTCCAAACTACCGAGGGTATGTTTCCGATGAGCTTTAATATTATGTTCAGAAGTTCATTGCAATCGGGAAGCTTAGTTGAATGTGTCATATATAGTGTACGAATTATATAAAATACTAACTGGCTTACCCGGCTCCGCCGTATGTTCCGAATAAAAAATTCCATTTCTTAACCGATTCGGACCAAACTTGGCACACATACCCTTCGGGCCCCGGCGGGTGTCACAGTCCACTTTTCGTTTCGGAATCCCCATGCTCACTTACCCCCCTGTGCCAACTCCCAGCCCCGTAGCTCAAATTTTGCAAAAAATCGATAAAATCGATATCGATCGATACGAAAAGTAGCCTATGACACCCGCCGGGGCCCGAAGTGTATGTCTGCCAAGTTTGGTCCGGATCGGTTCAGAAATGGAATTTTCTATTCGGAGCATACGTACAGACAGACAGACATACATACAGACATACAGACATACAGACATACAGACATACAAACAGACATTCAGCTTTATATATAAGATCATATTTTCATTAACAAAGTAGTCTCTCAAATCGTCTCTTAAGTAGTCTCTCAAATCTGCAAGTAGCAGATTTGACTTCGCGTTTGTCGAAAATCTTCAAAGCACATTTTTTTGTTTTTTGAGATCAAACATTTCCTAGAGCAACATATGCAAACATCTTCTTCTAAAAGTGACTTTAGAGCTGTGTTTCTATCACACAACGAGATATTCACTCGGTGTACACGCTTGGAGGTTTCAAATTCAAATGAACCAAACGCATGTGAAGTGATTGCAAAATGATAAGCAGGCGAGTATGTCAAGTGCAGCTGGAGTAGCTGGTTGAAGTTGCATTTGTAGAAAACACCTCGCTCTAAACATTTATAGCATACCAGTGCGTCGCCTCTGCTTCGCAGAGGTTCGCACTGGCTCTACTATCTATGTGCCTTACTCACTCTCGTAAAATCGTGGCACTGGGATTCACCGCGCTATGCCGACTATCACGAATAAAATGTAAACAACCACTCATTTAGAAAGTCTTTTCCCGTGAGATCGGTGATTTCGCGTGGATAAAACTTTTCGCAGGAAGACAAACGCAAATTTGAATAGGTTTTGAATTTGTCATGACTTGTAGTCGCCATAAAGGTAATGATAACCGTGAGCTACATCTCTGTGCGAAAATCTTCTTAAACGCTTAGCTAGAACCTTGGCAAATTGACCATTTACACAACCAATTCGTTTTGGCGCCGTTTTCGTTATGTAATAAACTTTCGACCACTTTTCTGGCTAAACTCCATCGCTTGCACAGCTTACCAAACTCATCCACGACTCTGCAAAAAGTGGTATACGGACCGAATTTTGCGCTACAGAAGCCAGGTGGACCCGTTTTTTTTTCGTCCCGCAATTTCTGAGGACGCTGGCTGGAACACGCTCCACGAAGTCACGTAAACATCCTCAGCCCGTTATTATAAGTCATGATATCGTTTGTTCCCTTGCAAAATTCCTGGTATATCATACTACCACTCGCACACGCAGCGTCTGGTTTCTATACTCTCGATGCGTCTACTTGAAAAATATTACTTTAATTGCTTGCGTGACACTGGCAAGAGCATCGAAAGGCGGCGAGTCGATTGCGCAAGCAGTGGTATTCAAGGGATTTTGTTGGAGGACAGAGGCTCGATGTTTTCGTAAATTTTAATGTGCTCGAAAGCTATGTTGGTACACTCACTCGAGGAGTAAGGGTTCATGCTCTAGGCGTTGTTAATAGACGCCAACATGCCAGCTTTGCTGAGAATCCCGATCCTAATTGATTAACGTCTGCCCAAACAAAGTGTGCTAGTGAGTCTTGCGGCATAGGCGCCTGTCATGATTTAATCAAGAATTTGCACTATATGAACGTGGGCACATATCACAGCAGCTTAAACGAAAATGTATGGTCTTGAAGGATGAAACCTCAGGTAACCCTATCACCATCACAATATGTTTGCATGTTCAGGCTAATTGTGCCAATGAAAATAGCTATGAGTCATATTAGATCGCAAATACTCAACATAGTATTACTTCCAATACGTACCTGGCGACTTAAGCAAAATGTTGTAGAAGAGGCGTACAACACAAACGAATCTGATCGAGAGTGAGGATAGCTTGCAGAAAAAAGGTAAGGAATCTTTGATGCTGATGTGACCTATCAAAAAGCGTTCAGGAGAATTGGGCCATATTGACGTCATTTCCTGGTTTGTATTCGTCCTCGTCGTAATGGTACCATTTGTGTGGATACCGCTACCAAAGCGATTCCTTCGTATAGAAACAACGATCATGACAGCAATACTCATTAGGCTAGGCAAGCACTGCCAGGTTGGATTCCATTTTCTCGCAAAGCTTTTGCAAATATGTATTTTTAGACAGCTGTACTCATTAGACCGGAAGTAGTGTACGTCGGAGAGATATCATATGCTCTTTATTTGATACACTGGCCTGTTTTCGTTGTAATGAATTACTTATATCCTGAAAATCCACTAAGTATGTCGAGGTTTAAGGGCAAACTTAGCAGAAAATAATCAGAACTTAACCCAGCCATTCCAAACAAGCTGCATATTATCGAATTCGTTTTGAAACGCTGATTCAAGTATATGTTTATTATCTGCCAAGCGATTGTCTGGGGGGAGTTATGAACACTTAAATTTGCGATTTGTCAAATGTTCTGTGACGCTAAAAACACTTATTTAGGTTTGTGGTGAATGGTTTCTTCTTCCTTCTAATCAAAATAACCATAGTCACTGTGAACTCGTGCCATCAGGCTGCCCTTCAAGAAAATATATTCGTCAAAACTCGAAAAATTTCGCATGTATGAACGCTCATAACTCCTCCCAGATAGCTTGGCAGATAGAAACACATATTTGAAATCAGCGTTTTAAGATGAGTCCGATGACATACAGACATACAACTCGTTTGGGATGGCTGGGTTAATTTCTGACCATTTCCTGCTTACAAGGAAACGATACTTGGTGTCCGTGGCCTTTTGAGATGAAACGTATACCATCACACTCGTATTGGACCTCTGATTCCGAATCTGACTTCCGTTTCTGCCAATCATTTCTCTAAAAGAAGTTATGAAGGATTGTTGCGCCAACGGTGAGAGATACAATCGAGGATACCTAACTTTCAAAAAGAAGCTTGATTGAGGCAATGCAAAACTGAAAAACACAAAAGGATTAGAACCTAAACTCGCACTAACTTGTAAGGCTATCGCACTAACCACTACACCACGCAGTAGCAGCAATTTTGGCACTCCAACCATATTTCCTTTGGCGCAAAAATTCTTCATAACTTTCAAAGATACAATGAGCACAAAGGAAAGTCAGATTAGGAATCAGCGCGTCAAGAGTGTAAAGGTATACGTTTCATTTCAAAAGGCTACCACGGGCACCAAGTATCGTTTCCTTGTCAGTATTGGGTGTTTGCTAGTTAACATGCAGAGTGTTCCTCTCGAATTTCTGGTCTTCTAAAACAAACGAAATTTTTATGATGAATATAACTAAGCGCTAGAACATATAAGGAAACGCTATTGTCTATACAAGAAATACTTTCAGTGGAAAGAAAGGAAACCACCTTTTGCATCTAGATAGATAAAGATACAGGTTCCGATAATAAATTAGCTTTAACATCTTTTCATGGCCTAGGTTCGACCGTGGGTGTGATCACTTCCGTTTTCTTCGCTTTTTTGACGTACTACTTCTACGAAAAAAATTATCTGCGATGGTCACCTACTTCTATCTGCTTATTGATAGCCATGCTCTTCCTTGGCTGCGGTTACCTAAGCTCGCTGCCCACAGAGCTTTTCAAACCGGTAGAGATTGACTACAATGGCCTTAAGATAGAAGACGCCGCCTGGAACTTGAGTACGCATTTTTGACGCCTATAGTGTTCACCGCTTGCTCTGACTGTTGCTATCCTTAGCTTTGATGCGTCAGCTGAATGCTGCAGAAACTCCAGGTGGCCCGCATATGGGGCATAAGGACTGCACTTATAGCGCAAGATTTGTGAAAAAAACAAGAGCTCCATATGGACTATGTACAATGAAGGTAAATAACAACTTCAGTTTTTATCTCAATTTTCATTTAATTCATTCATAATCATAGCAGAGTCGCGCAGTCTTCTTTGAAATTTTGCAACAGCTTGTTAACAGCGGGTTGAGATAGTAGCAGTGGTGAAAGCCGAAGCTTGTACTAATTTCTGAAGGAGGGCAAGCGTTAGGCGACAAAACGTGCAAAACGCAAGAAACGTAAATCCCCTAACTCAAAACTATGCACCATTTTTTCATTGGCGTCGGGTAATGTATCGGCCTCGACCCCCACCCCCCTGTTTTTGGCGGAGGATACGTTTTGCACGGGGAGTTCTTTGGGGTACAAAAAATTGGGTTTGTCGCCTAACGCCCCACACCCATTTCTGAAAGCTCTCCGAATTTTTTGGAGACAAAATGACTGACCGCCTCTTGAAGTAAGTTAGGTTCGAATTTTGCTTCAAGCTCTTGTTCGAGCAATTCCACAACATTTTCAAAGCCTTCTATGTTATTTGCGTTAGTCGCTGAAGTACACCTTCGCAGGGTTACGAAACGCTCTCGATTCGTCAAAGCATGAGCGATAGCCCACCTAACTTACAAGGGAAGGATACTAACTTAGATTCGCCTTTTGAGATGAGACACATATATTTGGAATCAGCTTTGAACGCTGATTCCAAATATGTTGTTCCTAGCTGCTCAGCGTTATTCCGGAGTAGTTAGTTATGGGTTTGCCGTTGTGAGTGATAACAAACTTCTGAATGTCGTAAGACGGCGTATACATAAGAATCGCTCGTAAAAAGGGCTGGTATGTTGAACTAGCATCAGATTAATCCTTTCGATTATGAAAGGGAGCATTATACAATTGCAAAACCACCTAGACGTGACACCGTAGCATCCGCAACTCTCAGAATAAAGCTAAGCACTTAGGAACAGCATATTTGAAATCAGCGTTCCAAGCTGATTTCAAATACATGTGTATCATCTCAGCAGGCGAATCTAAGTCAGTATCCTTCCCTTGTTAGTAGTGATAATTGATCTTTCGGATCTTCTTTTACCTTTCAACTAAAACTTGGTTAGAGAAAGCGGTAGTCTCAAACTTAACGTAACAAAATAACCGATTTTAACAATCTCCACATTTGGTCGAGCTGCCCCGGTAGTTTTGTACAGTTATGACAGTGGAATGTGAAAAATCTCGGCGAGTTCGCCAATGTCGGCGAAAAACGCAAAGTCGCCGAGTTTGCCGACATCTCCGAGAATTTTCACATTCAAAAGTCATGACTGTTTGACTGCATGTATGATGCAAATCTTCAAATTTTCGCTCATATGGATCGTTTAATGTGCTGATAGCATTTCTTACATTGTTTTGGCACATCATAGGGATTAGAATCCGCCAAAATATGCGATTCTCAAATTTGGGAGAAGATTCATGAAAACGTGAGTTTGTAACCTCATAATCTGACGAACAGTGCACATAGGGGCGTGTGCTAAAATCACGACCCGATAGCGTTTTTTACAGAGATTCTAATTTACAAAGAAAAAACGCAAGCGCGAGAAGTGCAAACGAATCTTCAACCTTGTATAGTTTAACTAAATTTTTTCCATTTAAAACTTCATTATAAAACTCTTTAGCGACATAACTAGGACTTTCGTTAACAGTGTGTTTAAAAACTACTGTGAGTGGAGTTTCGGGTCAGTTCAAGATCACCGATATGTCAGCCAAAACCAGTGGCGAGGTCAGGAGCGAAAATCGAGAAAAATCAATTGGCGGCAGTTTTTTTAGAAAAATTGAGTATAAAGGTTATCCGACTTGCTGAACAAAAAACACATGTGCTCCCCATGATATCTTCATTCTGTAGGGTTAACGGTGGCTAAATTTCAGGTAAATTTTGATTCTAACAGAGTTTGTTGGCATTTTCGCCCTTCAAAAGATACTTTGCACCACGTTTAGCTGCTAAGAAACTCGCAAAGCTGTTGTATCGAATGATATTTATCTTAGGTTTCTATCTACATTAAGTATTGGGTTACGCGCTAACAAAATCCCGTTCTCAGAACATAATTGAAGATTTCAGGTCATATTAAATCGCTTTTCACCCATATTTTGGGTATATAGTGACAATGCGAGTGGGCGGGGCTTACAGTGTACAGCTGAAAATCCATAAAATCGATATTCTAAAAGTTGCGAAACCTCCACGATAGAAATCGATATTCTGAAAATGCGAAACCCGCCAAAATCGACGAAATCGACATTCTGGAGGTTGCGGAGCCTCCAAAATCGATAAAATCGAAGATTTGGAAAATATGAGGATTTCGCAACCTCAAAAATTTCGATTGCCAAGTTTTGAGATCCCCCCCCCAATTCTGACCCCAAAGCTCCACCCACCTTTTAAGGCTCCGCCTAGGGATCGGCCATACTATTCCTGCTATTCCTAGGATTCCTGCGATTCTCGCACGGTTTAGGCGCCGCTTAATTGAGCGCGTGTTGCGTGTTACGTGTTGTTTTACGCAACATGCGCTCATTTGAGCGGCGCCTAAACTGTGCGGGAATCGCAGGAATCGCAGGAATCACAGGAATCAATAGCAGAAATAGTATGGCCGATCCCTTACTTTCCAAGACTCCGCCCACTCAACTTACAAGCTCCGCCCATTCTTTCCTCAACAGCCACAGTTCACCCATTGTTAGCACTAACATATCTCCGTCAACCACTGCAAAACCGCTAATCCAACAATTAAAACCCCGCCCACTTCAATCAAAACACCTTAAAGTGAAGCTCCGTCCCTTCCCCTCTCGGCAGGCCCACGTGCACTCCGACCGAACAAAATGAGCGGAAAATTGGGCGAAAAAATTGAAAAAGCGTAAAATAAGCTCGCTTTCAGCGCTTTTATACAGTCACAACTCCTCCAAACAAGCTCCGCCCACTTTCTACTTCGCACCACGACCAAAACCAAAAAAATAAGGTGGAAGGAAGGTTTTTTCTGCCCAGAATGCTTCAACAATTGTGGAATAGAAGAGGAATATAGAGTCCGTAAATTTACATATAAGAAGAAACAATTTAAACCAACCACGTTCCACAGCTTCACATGGAGATTCTAAGGAGGAGAAAACAGTCGCTGCACATGGGAATAAATTAAAACGAAATGATAAGCAGAAATAGGGTTCTCACTGACAGAAGCGGTACGTCACTTCTGCAGTAGCTCGCATTACAGCTTTCTCTAAGCAGAAGTTCAGTTGAAGCTGGAAGAGAACACTGCCATTACGTGAAAATTTCCTCAATGACCACAGTCTAGAAAGGATTTTATCGTTATGACTCGAACATTTAGGGGGCTGAGAAGCCCAAGAAATAGGAAATTTTCAGTTGAGGTTATATCAAATCAGTAAAGTAAATTCATCTTTTGAGATTTATCCGGAGTGAGAAAGCATACTATTACGTCTGAGCGAAAAAATTGCTTTAAATGACTGAGAGATATGTTAAACTGTTTCAGCTAGCTGCTCTGTATACAAAACTAGTGCGTCAGCCTAGGTCTAACGAAGGGCCGCAGCACTTTCGCTTTTTACCAATTCCCAATTGCGCCAGCTGCATGGGTAGTTTATTGGAGCGCCTTTCTTCATGGATACCGACGTTGTTGCTATTCCGCATTCTAAAAAGGAGAACAAGAGGGGTTTTAAAACCAAAATGTTACTGAATAGTAAACTTTGGGTTATAAACACTGATAAACAGATGTAGGAATCAAAATGATAATCTGGACTGAAAGTTTTGTTATTTTTCAGGGTGGCATTAGGGTGGGTGGCATAATTGGTGATTCCAAACATGTTCAGTCTGCTTTTAATCCCCACTAACCTACGGCCAGGTGATTGATATGTTTGAAGCCATATCCGCCCTATGCATTGCAAACGAGCCATTTTTGCATTTCTAATAGTGAGGAAATTTCACAAAGCTTCCACATCCTTTAGTCACGTAACCCCGCGGTATTCTGCACTATGCTTCTTTTAGCCTCTGTCCATTTATAAACCAAAGAGTCATCTGCATTGCATTACGTGCACAGTGAACGATGCAGTTGAATGCTATTAATAATAAGAAACAATAATAATAATAAGATAACGAGTGAGCAAGGCTGTGTTTTTGCACGTCGATCGTGTAACAACTTGTTCAGGGAACGCGTATATAATATAAATGTGTGTAACAAATATCCATGATGCTAAAAGTCGGTGAATCTAGCATCAGTGTTGTACGCATCAGCGCTAGAACAATAGTTTACTGCATGCCTACTTTGTATGAGGCTAGAACTTCACAGTTCCCAATCTGATCAGGTGCCTTTCACTGATTCAAACTATTCATAATGTTTGCGAGCCTGTAAGAGGTGCACTCGAAGAAATTGAGCGAAGCTTTCGAAACTGTCGATTTGCGCGAAAGAAGGAGAGTGTGGCAGGGTCCGAACGCAGCCACCCAGAGGGTCCGTGGAGAAGAATGTTGGCTCAACTCGCTTTAAAGAAAGTTTTAACACAGAAAACAGAACTTTTGAAAGCAGCCAAAAGAAGTTAAAAGTTAAATTGAGGAAGTGCTAAACGATCTTTGCTTCTTTGTATTCGTATTCTATAGCCAATAACCAAGATTGTTAATACACTTTATTCAGTCAGGCCAACGTTTCGGTGCCTTCACCTTCGTCAGAGCCTGGAAGATCGCATACATTAGTGGTCTGCTCCCCAAACACCTCCTTCAAGCCAAGGCTACACTCAACATTAAGTTAGTTCGAAAGCAGTGACGGAAAGCATCGTCAATGCGTACCTCGGCAAACTTCGAATCAGGGTTGAGCAACCACCAAACACAGCGTCTGCACAGTTAGTAGTGGCGAAACTAGTATAATTGCTTTATATAGATGGTTCTAATCTCGGTGTAGATCAAATCCGCAAAGGGAATGATACGAGATCAGATCACTATTCATGGCGACGCCCTCTTCCTTGCGGTTCATTGCTGGAGCTTTGGATGTTATCCAAAATGCTTCCAGCGTTTTACGACTAACAATTTC